ACACAAACAAAAAAGTGGAAAAAATCTTTTTTCAATATTATATAATCCAATATATTGGATTTCAAATGAAATATAATTGCATTAAAATTTTGCGAAAAAATATATTTAAACCCATTTTTTGTCCAATTTTGTTGTCTGAGCTTAATATGGGAGTCGATTATATTGACAATATTTTAAACCACGAAAATCCACTATTATCTTTTTTTTCACTTTTTTCTTATAAGTGGACCCCCCTTTGGTATAACCTTACAACATCCATTTTTGGCTGACCAATCGCAAAACTTTTCCAAAACCGCCTGCGGCGCCAATACAACCAAATTTGAGAGAAAAGCGCGCATCAAAAAAACCTTTTCAAAAAATTTTGATTAATGTCAAATTTTAAAAAAAAAAATGTTCAAAAAAACATTTTTAATCGGTTTATTTTAGCGGTGCAGAAACCTTTTGTCAACAGACGGTCCTTAAAGTATTTTCTGAGAGCTCGGAAAATCAAAGTGTTTGACCCAAAAAATCATAAATTATTAATAATTGAAAAAAAACTGAGTTTATATTTCGGAACATGCATCTTTTTGACATGCAATTATTGACATTGGATAATATTCAGTGCAAAAAAAAGATATTTGACTCTGTTGTTGACACAACTAACGCTGCATTCTGCTATACAAAACGTGCAAAAAATGATGGCGCGTTTTACGAGTCGAATTACAGCAAATGCACAAGAACGATCTCATTAGAGTTTAGCAAAATTGTGGCACACTATATCTGCATTATTCTAGAAAGCCATTTTTTGTTTATCTTCTATGAAGTTGCGGTAAATTTTTTTTTTTGAAATACCGGCCACCTCGATTTTTTTAATCTATTATGTTATATTATCCTTGTTTTGGTTATGAGAAAATTTTTTAATGAAAACACTCGAAAACGCGTTTTTATGAATCATCTTTTTTTTTCACAGTTACTTCAGATAAGTCTAAATTGAAAAGTTTATATTCTTTTCTGTATATCTGTTGTAACATAAGACAAAAAGTTTTGAGGACAAAAATTGATGAAAATCTTTGCCAGAATCTTCATGATATGATTTGTTTCTACAAAATTACGACACAGAGTTGTATCCTTAAAACTGTCATTTTGCTTTATTCAAAACAAGCAATTTAAAAGCAGTTGGCGTTTCTTATATTGATTGAACTTGTTTTGTATGCCCAATAATGAATGGACAGACTGACACGTTTTGAGCTAATATTTTGTTCTGAATTCAGCTAAAAGTTTTTATTAAAAACGTTGACAAAAACTTTTTAGCCATTTTTGTCCTCATCAATTTTGTCTTTAGTTATCCCATTTTTTTTAAGAATTGATTTTAAAGTTTTTAAAATGTGTAAAAAAAACGATCGAACCTAATACAAAGTGTCATCAGATTTCGGCAAACGTTTGATCTCTGCTACACAAACAATAGCGTAGTAACTCTGATGTCAGTGGCAAAAAAAGGACTTACAAAAAAGTATCACATCCAAGTTTCGGCTTATTTAATCAATTATAACTGATTTCATTCATTTGTGCAACACTAATTGAATATATTTTAGTTGATCATAAGCTCCTATTTTGCCGGAAAATTTCTGATATTGGATTTTGGTATTGCTGTCAATAACAAAATCTCTAGACGTGAGATGTCTTGTCATCTTTTGGTTCATCAGAAAAATGTTTCAGATTCAAGATAGAAGACAAAATGGGCCAATAAAACGAAATATTGGCTCAAAAGAAAACGCGTCCAACGAAAGTAAACTTGAAGCAAAAAATGGGCCGCGTTTCAGAACAAACAAATTAAAAATGGAACTAAAATAATGAAATTTATTTAATCATAGTCAATATAAAATAACAAACAATGGATGGGAAACTATTCGTTTATGCTTCAAAACAATGATATAGAATTAAAGGTTAGAACCAATCTTTGATTGGTTATTGTTCCGACTTTCGATACGAAAGTAACGGAATACTTGTGCTCGGGGTGGGTTTTTTTTTTCTTCAGACAAATTTCGACTTTTTAACTAGCCATTTTTCACGGAGTTTTTTTGTATCATTCAAAAGGTATTGTTGTCCTGAGCTTAAATTTGAAAAGATATTTCACCTGTGATTATTTTTCGTAAAAGTATGAGGGTTTAAAGATTGCCATTTTGGCCATTTTGACCAATTTGGGACAATTAACGCGCGATATAATTCACGCTATTAACGCGTAAGCGGAGATTTAATCCGTCATATAAATCGTTCCAAATTGGTTGAACGAAGCTTATTTGCCATAATTGATTTGTTACAAGGAACGAAATCTATTCTTTTGTACTTTATATGGCGTGTGGGGGGATGATTTTCATTGAATAAATTTCAAATTTTAGAAAAAAAATTTTCATTTTATGGCAAATGGTTTTCATTAAATTTTTAAAAGTTATTACTGCTCCATAAACCTCAAAAGGCAGTCGAACATTCAGGAATTCGCACTGATACGAGCAGTCTTGTAATAGTTTTCCCCTCAATTTCAGAAAGATGGAACTCAAAGCTAATTAAATTGGCTACCAATTCTTCAAAAAGGATGCGTGCTGCTTCTAAAACACCCTGTTGGTATTCAACACCAAAAATTTCAAATGCTCTTGAAAGGTCTGATTATTGTCTCCATGCGTTCAAGTCTATAGATATAATTTACTTTCCACAAATTTGAAGGTCATTTTTGTTTATTTTTGCGGTTTTAAAAATGGACAATTCGGTCAACTTGGACTCATTTCTGCGCGCTTTGAAGTGTTTTAATATGGGTTCCATGACTATCTACCAAATTCTAAATCACCCTATGCCATTTACCTTACACCAGTTATCCTATATTCCACTCTGCTCTATGCCAAACTACCCTATGCCAAATTACCTTATGTTCTATTAATAGTTCAGCTGGTCAGAGATAACTGAGCTGACTATCTCGTTTTAAGGTGGCCGGATAGTCGGCTTTACTCTTGGTGTAAAGCCCTACCCAGTAGCAGATATAGGGGGGGGGGGGAGCTACTCCCTCCTCTCTAAGCCCCTGAGGGATTCGATCCCCTCCCGAACGACGCGATTTTTTGGTCGAAATTTGCCAAAAGGTGCCTAAAAACGCCTTTTTTTGGCCTTTTTTCAAAAATTTGCCTGCGGCCCAGAAAATTTGGTCAAAATAGTGTCTTTATAGTGGTTTTCAGAGAGCTCAGAAACTCAATTTAGTCGACCATAAAAAAAGGTCCACAAAATTTTCAAATTTTTTTTTGAAATTCCGCCCCCCCCCCTCGAGAAGTTCCTAGATCCGCGCCTGGTCCTACCCTCGGCAGGCAAGCTCGCAACACGTTGGCGCGACTGCGGCTATCACACTTTTGCTGTTGTCATTTGACTTAATTTAGGCGTAAGGTAGATTGGCTCAGGGTAGATTGGCATAGGGTAAAAAGGAATATGGTAAATTGGAATAGGGTAAGTTGTCCTGCTACCTTAATGTGGTGCTCATCGGTTAAACGGAAATTTTCTAAGCGCGACGAGTGTTTTTGTTCGCAAAACTAGTTGCTATTATAAATTCTTCACAAGAATCAGATTGTAACACTTTTTTCTCATTGGCTGCAGGTGCCCGGGTTGACAAAAAATGCTTATCACACTATTCCATACTATTTCATAGACCAAAAAAAAATTACTATGAAAATAGCATGATAAGCATTTTTTCCATAATTTGAAATATTATTATAGGCATTTTTTCTATACTATGAAAGTTTAGTAACATTTTTTTCCCTAAAAGAAAGTTTTGTGCACAAATTTATATTTGAGCACAAAAAACAAAAGCAAGTTTGCAACCAAAAAAGGGATTTAAAATTTTTAACCTCAAATTTGTGTTTTTGATTATGAAAAAATGCATATCATACAATTTTCATATATGAAATTTATATGATAAGCTTTTTTTTGACTAAAAAAATCATGTTTTTATTGAGCAGAAAGATTCAAAAGATAGAAATAGAACAGAAGTATTTCTCTAATTAATACAGTTTTTAAATTTTGCTTGAAAATTGTATGATAAGCAACTTTTCAATAGTCGCCATATATGAAATTGTATGATAAGCATTTTTCTTTTATGGACGTCAACCCGGTTGGCAGAAAAAAAACAAAGTTATAAAACTCGAAAGTTTTAGCGCCATTGAAATTTGTTGACCCAAAATTGTCTGGGAAAATTAATTTAAAAAAAGTGTCGAGAATCACTCATTGTTTCAGAGTTCTGTTTTCATGCAAGCAGTCTTGTTCAACATCGTATTGAGAGTGACTTTGAGATAGAGCAAATCAAGACTGTTGACCTTGTTACCGGGGCTAAAACTTAAAGCATTAATGAACCTGGACATAAACAACAAAAAAAAACAGGAGGAAAGAACTCTTGTGATGAAATTTTAGGCCTCAAATTTAATTTTTTTGGCCCGGCTCATTTTTTATGTAATTTTTATTTTAATTGGTTGATCGAATAGATCTAACAAAATGATGATTTCCTGTATAGTCGCTTGCATGGGTATTATCATGTATCATGGCTGGCTAGCAAAATTGATCGACGCCTGCTTACCGAACGCGAGATAAACTTAGGTTTTGCCTCAATGAAGGTGGTATAAATTTAACTTTGCCTCAACGAGCGCTGGATCAAAATTGCACAAGACAATAAAAGTTGATTATTTTTATTGTTTGACTTTCCGGGGGCGCTTACTTAGGTACTATCGGGATTGTTGAGAAGATCTCGCATATAAGCTGTCTAAGTTTTCAGCTTTCCAGTTGTGTCAGGGGTGTGTCCGGCTACAAATTTTGCACCATTGGGAAGAACAGAAGCTGCTCACTATTCGAGTCGAATCATGACACCAAATCTGTGTTCGCCAAAGCTGATATTAGTTTCTGAAAAGTCTCAAGCTGAAAATATCTCCTCTATTTCATAGTTTCAGTTCCATTTTACGGGCTATTTGTATCTTTATGAATAGTAATGAAACGTGCGAAACTTATTAAAATGGCTATGACATAAATTGAAGTTTCTACAAGCAGGCTTCATAAAACAGGTTTATTTAAATTGAAACCGTCCAAAAGTATAAACTCCCCCATAAATCCTTTCCACGAGATTTCGAAAACTTTAATTGAATTACTTGCAATCAAACAAATATAACTTTGGTCTCAGTTGATATTGCTTATTTAGTAGTTCCTGTTAAAACTTGTACGCAGAGCACAAACTATTTGCCAGGAAAAATAAACTTGCCTTTTCGACAATATTTTGCCAGCTTTTACTTGTTAACATGTCGTCTGACGGAAAAAACAAAACGTCGCTGGAGAAAATCAAAGAAAACGTTTTAAATTCAAGCACTCGTAATGTTTCTTTTTTGCTCATTTAATTTAGAAATAAAAATTTGTATTCTTTTCATTATATTAAACAGGAAACGAAGTTGAATTTATCGCAAAAGTTTTTTCGAAAATTGCCGGCAAGCTCTTTTTTTGTTCTAAATCGTCGATTACACTAGCCCGGGTTGACCTCCATAGACCAAAAAAGCTAATCAACAATTCTACATTTTGCTAAAGTGGTGTCGTCGAACTTTCAAAAAACTTTTCTCTTATATTGGCATAAAATTCGGTGTATTGTACTACATAAAAAAGAAAAACTTCTTGTCAAAAAATGCTAATCATACAATTTCTAAATATGGAAAAAGTATAAGTAGCCCTTTTTTGATGGCGACGACAAAAGTATTTTTGAAATTGCCCCCAAAAATTTTTTGTGTTTTTTTTCAACCGCACAACCGCAAATTGATTTTCGTACTCAAACAAACATTTTTTGGAATGAGTCATTTGTGTTCGGTTACGAACACAACCAAAAAATTTTGAGAAATTAAAATGTAAAAAATCAATATTTTTGATTTATGGAAAAATGCTAGCCATACAATTTCCATATATGAAAAAATACTAATCATAGACCTTTCATGCAATTTTTTGTTCTTATGGAATTGCATGAAAAGCATTGATTAGCATTTTTCCATATATAAAAATTGTATGACAAGCATTTTTCGTCAAACCGGGAGGACGCAACCTTTTTCACCTGATGTTTTTGCGCGTTTTGCAGAAAATTTTTTTTGAAAAATTATACGTTTCGTATTTTTTGCATTTTTTGTCCAGTGGTTTGTACTCGTCTTAGGTCTTTTTGCGTCCCTTTCCCCCACTTAAAACATGTATCAATTGTGTGGTGTAACGATGGCCCACTTAGCTCCCATGCCTTTTTGTAGCAATCGGACAATGTGAACAAAATTCGCAGGAAGGGTGGGGGAATTTTTCTTACTTTGTATAAATTTGGTTGGAGCATTTCAATTGAGTACGCACTTGTTTGAATTTGAACTGGAAATCAAGGAGCAAACTAAAACAGATGCACACGATCTAATGGAAGAAGTTGAAGAAGGTGAGCTCAGTGAACTTGAAAATCAGGAAGTTGCTGTCAATCAAAAAAGGAAACCGAGAAAACGTCAAAGTCATGTTCACACTTCGAAAATTGACGAAAACAGAGGCTGGAAAGGTACAAGTTTGATAGTTGGGTTCCTAAGATTTAGATAAGGTCCTTGTAATAAAGTCTTAAGGTACCGAGCTAAAAAAAAACACTTTTTGATTTCTTTATTTCGCCTCTTTGATGCTGTTCGGGGCGTCTTGCTTCTTAACTTGATTTTTCCGAGGCGCGATTATCGGTGATAGGTCGTTAAGTTGTTGTATCAGTAACTGAAAACGAGTTGCTCAGATCAAAAAATGCTTAACCAATCCATCATTCGAAAACGTTGTCACACGAGTTAAAACCATCCGATTTTATGACTCCGATGTTATGAAGGACTCTGAATTAGCGTGACGGGTGCTATGAAAATCATAGGTTTAAAGTTAATAGTTTGAAAATTTAGCTGCGTTTTTTTCGGTCTGCCAATTTTTTTTTTTTTGCTCTGCTAAATTTTTCTGTATCATGGCCGGTTTTTAGAAGCAAGGTGATCTTTTTTCGGCGCTTACTCCGACCTCTAAATTATTATATATTAGCGCCGAATGCGCTTTTGAAAATTTTTTAGGGTTGGCTAGTTAGAAATGGGTGTCTTATAGTTAGGTATCTTGGAATAACTTGGCAACCAGAACAGACGAGAGAAGCTGAGCTACCGCGTGCCTGGTATATTACTGAAGCTTCGGTTAACTGACCGCATTCTCATTCAACTATCAAACTTGTACCTTTCAAAAGTCTTCAGAGGAATTTTGGTCACTTTGAGTTTGTTCGCACTCGTCCTCTTTGCGATCGGATTACTTATCAAAACAAGCATTGAACTAAACGACAGAAGCGGAAAACTTAAGATGAACCATGAAGAAACGGAGAGTAGTATGCAGATTGCTTTCGAAAACAGCATCAGCATCAGCAACAAGAAAACTAACCAATCTGATGTTTCTTTACTTTAGAACAATATTTTTGATGTGTCTGAAGAATAAATAAATTTTAATTTTTTTGAAAACAGTGTGAGCAGTATACTTATTCAGACCAACAATCAATTTCAGATCAATTTCAGATCACAAAAAGTGACGAAATATTTGCGCATGAACTTGTTTTTTTTTTCTCCAGACTACTTTTGCCTTTCTGAATATCAATTTTTAAAAAAAAAATCATTTGTTAGGTAATGTTGCCCTGAGCTCAAATTAGCAAAATATTTTACTTTCAATTTGTTTTTTGTCACGTTATTGGAATTTACAGATTGCAATTTGCCCTGTGCTGAATGCAAATTGGTTTCTTTTTCACTGTTACGACTTTTCAACAATAAAAGTTTTCTTTTTAATTGTTCCTACTTTCGAAGATTTTTTCTAGAGACAGATTTTGAGTTTTTAACTAGCCATTTTTGACGAATGTTTTTTTATATCATCCAAAAAATATTGTTACATAGGGCTAAAATTTCACAAAGTGCTTCACCATGGTTTATGGTGGTTTAAAGAAAGTCAAAGTGGGATAATGAACGCCACCATATTTAGTGCTAAAAACACGTAAGTGGAGATTTATTGGTGCATATACAAAATAGTCCACTACAAAATAGTCCGAAAAATCATCTAACGGAGGAAAAAACAGTCCAATACAAAACAGTCCGGCTCTAAATTTCGTATTAATACCTGCCTTCTGTTGGCAAGCTCGCAACACATTGGCGCGACTGCGGCGGTCACTATTTTGTTCAATAGATTTGTAAAACGAAGGACAATTCTCGGCTTGCCGGCTTGTTAAAACAATTATCAATTAGGACTGTTTTTCTGACTGTTTTTTAGTTCATTTTCATACTTTTCCGGACTCTTTTGTATTGGAGTGTTTTGTATGGCACTGTTTTGTAGAGACACGGATTTATTCAGTCCTATAAATCATTTCAAGTTAATGAGAGGCATGCTACTTGGTCTTTTTAATACTTGATATATGCGAAGTATATCACTTTGCATTTTAGATGCGTGTGGATGGTTGTTTTTAAAAATCAAAAAAAAACTTTTAGTTCAGTGTTTTTTAAAAAAAACACTACTTCATAGACCCTAAAAAGCAATCGGAGCATTCAAAATTTTGCCCTGATGCTAGCAGGATTGTTTGTTTTGTTCGTAATAAACTCTGGTCACTCAAATTAGACTCTTTCAATCATTTATCAAGTATCACCGGAATGCTTTGATCCCTCACAATGAAATAGTTTTTAACAGGCATTTTCATTTTGTGACTTGATCTGAAAAAGTAATGTTTCAAATCTTGTAACGAGCAAATGCAGCTAGAACAAGTCTGATTGTTCCGACTTTCGTAACGAATGTAACGGAATATTTGTGCTCGGGGTCCGTTTTTTTTTCTTCAGACAAACTTCGACTTTTTAACCAGCCATTTTGACGGAATTTTTTTATATCATTCGAAAGCTATTGTTGTTGTGAGCTTAAATTTGAAAAGATATTTTTTCTTTGATCCTTTTTGTAAAGTTATGGGGGTTTAACGGTTGCCATTTTGACCATTTTGGGACAATTAACGCGCGATATTTTTCGCGCCAACAACGCGTAAGCGTAGAATTAATCCGTCTTATTAATCCGTAAGCGTAGAATTAATCCGAATAAATCGTTCTAAATTGGTTGAAGGAAGTTTATTTGCCTGAATTGATTTGTTAATGGAGCAAAATCTATTACTTTGTTCTTAATATGACGTGTGGGGGATGTTTTTACAAAAAATTACGATTTTTTTTTCAAAGTTTTTAAATTTTATTTTATTAAATTTAAATTTTTCATGTTATTGCTGCCCTTTAGACCTTAAAAGGCAGTCGAAACATTCAGGGCTCGCCCTGATATGAGCAGTCTTGTTAAATTTGTTTTTGTAAAGCTGATGATTTCGCTTAAAAGTGAAGTTTTTAATCGATTAAGCATAAAATAACGATACTTAACCGTTTGCTAGAATCGTTCAGAAATATTAGCCATGAACCGCCAGATCTTTTAGTATCTTAACCAATTAGAGTAAGTAACAAGTTTACAGCAATGAATAATAAAGACTTGAATTGCCAAATGAGAGTGTATAAATTTTTGTTAGCGTAAGTTATATTATTGTAACTGTTTATAATTTCAAACAAGGATAGTCGGTTAATGTGCAAGTAGCAACGAATATTCCGGCCACAGTTTTACAAAATTACAAAGAAAAGCTTTTACAAACCTGTGTCGTTTTTTTCTGCATTTGCAAAAAAAGATCTGATCGAAAAATTAGAACTTGGTATATTTAATAAGCATAGTTGAAAAGGTCAATTCCAAAACAGTTTATGACAAAGTGACTACAAAATGAAAACAAAATGTTTGAAAAATTGTCAAAAAAGTTTCAAATATTTTTGCAGAAATTTTTTGAGTTTTTAAGCTTTTGGTTCCCAAAATTCTGCTGAAAAACTCCAAAAATTACCTTTAGTTGAGTAAAACGGCTTTAAATTAGCTTTAAATGAGCTATTGTAAGCCTACACGGTCTATTTATTGGCTCGAAATTATACCGAAAACCAAAAATTTCGTACCCCTTTTTCTTGACAGTGAATTTTTTTTTTTTAATATCGTTCGTACCACGATTGACAGGTCTTTAAAATAATATATTAGTGGACCCATCCGATGATTATTTGTGATACCTGATTTTGCGTGGAAAAAAAAACTAAAACACAACCAAAAACAAAGGTCCTCCAAAATTGGAAAACCAAATGAAAAAGCTCACCTTAAATTACACTCGAATTGATTCCAGGAGATTTTTTGTATGTTGTTATCGATGAATTTTTACTACAAGAAAATTAAAACGACATTATTTATAACAAAACATTTGTTCTCAAGCCAAAAGTTTATGGCATACATCCTATAAATTATACATACAAGGTTTTTGTTCCAAATTTGAAAATGGAGAGGAACTTTGTATTCTTGTGTGTTTTAGTTTTTTCTATTTTTTCTTCCTCTTTTTGTTTTCCATGCAAAATAAGTTATCACAAGTAATCATCGTACTGGTTGAATGATATATCATATTAAAACCCTGACACTTGTGATTCTAGAAAAACCTGTTCGGGCGAATAAAGCGAGCGAGCAGTCTAATTTTAATTGCTCCAAACCTTACAATAGCTTAATTTAAAACATAGAAATTTAGTTTACTCGAGAAACATTGGTTCACTTTGAGTGTTCTAGTGCCTTTGTGGAATCAAAATTTTCAAAAATGTGAAAAACTGCAAAAATTGAAAAAATTGTTGAATTCTTTTTTTTCGTTTTTTCAAGTAATTTTTCTACAAAATTGTTTTTCAAGTTGCTTTTTGTTCCGACTTTCAAAAAAACGGAAAATTTATGCTCGGTGTGTTTTTTTTCAGTCAATTTTTGTCGATCAAAATAATAGTTTTCAACAAAAACTTTTTATAAATCATCGAAGATATTGACTTCCCGAGTTCAAATGTAATAAGACAATTTATCTTTGATTGTTTTTTGTAAAGTTCTGGGAGTTTATAAGCAATGCCAAGAGCACAACTCGAATTATTTATTCATGGCGAATTATCCAGCACAACAAACTCGTTTCAAATTGAATTGAGGCTAGCTAATTGGTCGTATTAATTTCGTACGACTCAAAATGTGACTTTTGATTTTGTTCAAAATTTATAGGTTTTTTCAATATTTTTTTTCACAAAAATTATTCGATTTGAATTAAGGGCAGTCGGAACCTTCAGGTCTTTAACTGTCGAATATTCCTAATCTTTTTTGTTCAGCTCATTTTTTTGCAAAAAAATTACTACTACGATGGCCTAATTTTGTACCGGGATTGTTTTTGATAGAGGGCCGGTTCTTTGGTTCCACTTTTCACTCTTATTCAATAAATGCGCCTAAATTTTATTCAAACTGCCTACTTTTAATTCAAACTGCTCTAATTTTATATTTTCTTGCAGAAAAAAAATCAATTTGGTTCCGCGGCAGAGAAATTTTTTTCTCAAGCAAAGTGGACTTAATGGGGGGGGGGGGGGGGGGGAATTTACATTACGAGTCTAAGCTGTGTATTTTGTGAATTGAAAACGGATTCCGCATAAAAATTACGATCTTTTTGTAATTACTTTGTTCATTCGTTTTCTTAAATTTTTCTGACAAAAATTCAATATGTTCAAATAATTGTCTCTAAATCCAGGGACATACAGACACAAAACCAGTGCACAGTTTGGCCTCGTAATGACCCAATATACTCACCCAGTGTATTAACACAAAGTCTAAGCTTCATCGCCAGTGGGCTTTCTGTATAATGGAAGCCATTTTTTGCTTAGAAATTTCATGAAAAAAACCAGATGCTCGTCAATTGATGCCCGATATTTTTTTCAGTCTTCGATATTTGTAGCTGAATAATCAAGCACTGTCAAATGAAACTTTGTGCTGAAAAAAAAATTTAATAGCAATTCAACTAAACTCAACAAATTAAAGATTAAATTTCCTTGCTATAGAAAATCTCTGATCATCAATTTTCAAAGAGCACGAAGAAAAAGTTTTATTTCAACTTAACAACTGGTTTTTGATTTTTCTCATTTTTCTTTTTTTTTTCTTCGAGTAAGCCAGAGCCAGCGCAAGAAAGGAACTTAGAACATGTAAACAAATGAGCAACTTGAAAAAAATCAAACAAGACCGCTCGTAACAGGACGAAACCTTGAATGCTCCGACTGCTTTTTAAGAAAGCAGTGAAACATGAAAAAATTAAATGTAAAAAAAATTTGAAAGAATTTTTTTAAATTGATTTTTTTTGTGAGAATCATCCGACCAAAAGCCATATAAAGTACAGAATGATACTTTTCGCTCCATGTAACAAAACAATTATTGCAAATAAGATTCCTTCAAATTGTTAAAACCCCATAGATTTACAAAAAACAATCAAAGATGAAATAATTGTTCAGATTTAAGCTCAGCACAACAATACCTTTTGAATGATAAAAAAAAATCCGTCAAAAATGATGGGATAAAAAATCGAAATTGAAGAAAAATCACACCGAGCACAAATAATCAATATCCTGCTTCCAAAGTCAGGTTAGTATGTTTATTCGAGGTATCCAAGCGGAAGGAAAAAAATGCCCA